CCCCCGGAGCCCAGCCGAGTGAGTCTGCAGCAGAGGGGACTGGCCCAGCCAGCATGCACCCCATGGCCACCAGACCAGCCCTCTTGAGGTCTGATGCACACCCTGCCCAAACCACCAGAAGGCAAGTGAGGACATTCGCAAATGGCCTTCCTGGCACCAAACCTTGCTGGCCTTCTGAGTATCCAACTCCTTCCCGGGCACCTCCAATGAGCCAGAGACCAAGACGGAAGCTCCTGGAAGAGGGGCTTCTACCTTCCAGCAAAGTGCCTGACACCAGCACCGGGGCAAGGTGCCCAGACAGATGCTCATCCCAGCCTTACAACCCTCCTTCCCCTGTCCTCAGTGTCTGGTGCGCCCTCAGAAAGCAGGTCCCTGCTCTTCCTGGAGGGACACTGCATCCCACTCCCCTAAGTGCCCAAAAATGACTTCCCAGAGTAGTCGTCATATCCCAGAAGAGCCAAGCTTTTGGTAGGAACAAGGTGAACTCGGCAGCCCATCCATTTATTCCTGAGACTGTCACTACGCAAATATAACTGTCACTTGGAGTGGAGTGTAACAAACTCACTCCACTCCAAGACCACAGTCCGTTCCTTGCTGTCCCCCCAGTCATGTGACTCTAGACGAGGCATCCCCGAGTCTGACACGCCCCCAGTCACCCCTATGCCAAGTAAGCCCCATCCCTCACGGGCATCCAAGTCCTCTCCCCTCCAGATGAAGGGGCCTGTCCAGACTGTTGCCACACTGATCATACACACGGTCACAAATAGCATGTCTACACTGGCCCTCCCTGTGCCGGGAGGCTAAGCTGAACTGACAGTCCTTGGGTTGGCTGAGAAGAGAATTATTGCCAGTAAAAATACCTAGTGTTCTTGAGTGCTTCCTCTATGCCAGGCACCACGGTAGCTCACAGAGGCACTCGCTGGTCTGACCGTACCAGCCCTAAGAGAGGGGTGTGTTATCGGTTCCAGGTCCTCATGAGCCAGGAACAGGGCAAGTCATCTGTCCGCAGCCTCACAGCCACAAGTGGCACCACTGGGACCGCAGCCTGACCACTCTGACGTTCATGGCGGTGCCAACTCCATCAAGAGAAAACAGGAAACACAAACGACAGCAGGACAAAACCCGGAATTCCACCTGGAATGCAGCATCTCAGAAAACTGTCCCAGCACATGAGAGCACAACAGACTCAGGGTGAAAAGACCTAGCCCACCAGTGGGCACCAGTGCCCAGCCCACCAGTGGGTGTAAACATCACAGAGATGATCCCAGTTACAGCAGCAAGACAACAAGGGTCTTGGAACCAGAGGTCTGGGCCCAGCCCCGAGGGAAGGCTCTGAGGTTCTGCGACACGGATGAAATTTTCAAGGCTGGACACGCAGGGGTCAAGTCTCTGAGCACCAGAAACTGGTATCAGTCTAGGAGGGCTACTCGAACCCCCTTTCATGTTGTCATGAAACAAACACACCTGTGATGGTGCGTGTGACCTGGATATGGTGCTTAGCAACCAGCCAAGCACTGAAACCAACAGCGAGTGTTGAATCACATCACAGCCGCCCAGTGCGAGGCACAGTGTCCTACTTACACATACACACACACACACACACACACACACACACACACACACAGTGCCACCTGGAGACACCCATGAGGGTAGGGGCTGTGGGCTGCAGGCTCAGCCCTCAGGTCTGGGGGAGCCTCAAAGGCAAACAGCGAAACAAAGGGAAAAAAAAACAAGGGGATCAAAAAATGCAGGACCTGGAGATGCTGATGAGGCCGGAAGATCAGAAACCCCAGAACAGAGCCCGCCCCTGCGGGTGATGCCCTTGGAGTCCAGGCCGTGGGTTAGAGAAGCTGAGACGCCCCGCCAGCACACAGGGAGAGGGCTGGGGACAAGAGGGCAGTGGTGGGGACAGGGCCTGAGCAAGGAGGCTGGGGCAGAAGCCAGGAGGAAGCCAGAAACATGTCCCTGGCATCGGCAGGAGAGACCTCCGGTATGCACAGCCCACAGCAGTCGGGCACCACGGCGGACAGTCCCTGTGGCACGCAGCCCAGCCAGGTGAGGAGTGGTGACAGTACTGTCTGTGCGCAGGTGAACCCACAGTGCTTGTGAAACACCTGCTTAATGGCCCCACCACTAACCTCGGGGCCCACGACAATGTGACTAGAGGGACCAAAATCAAAAGCAGGATCTGTTGGGGCGTGGCAATTTCCTCTTTATATTAGGGATTCTCAGCCAGGTGCGGTGGCTCACGCCTATAATCCGAACACTTTGGGAAGCCGGGGCAGGAGGATCACTTGAGGCCAGGAGTTTGAGAGTAGCCTGGACAGCATAGTAAGACTTTGTCTCTACCAATAAAAATAAGTAAAAATAGGGATTCTTGGTGATTTGCAACAGAAACCATAATTCAAAGTAGAAAAGACATTCACATTTCATGGTAGGTTTCAGAAAGGGACCATCGCTGGAAAGAGGGATGCCATCTGAAGCTTAAAATGGTGATGCTGGAAGTTAAAAGCAGAGTCTTTTTTTTTTGAGTTGAAGTCTCACTTTGTCGCCCATGGCTCTGCTGGGAACGCCACCTGCCACCCCTGCCCAGGACGCTCACGGAACACGGGAACCCCTCCGCCAGGACGCGACTCACGTTCACGCCGAAGTCAGGGGACGTGGAGCTCCAGATGGCACCGATGCTCGCTGAGGCCAGCATCGCCTCCACAGCGTGTGCGCAGTTGGGCAGGTAGCCTGTGGGGAGGACAGATGGGAGCCTTGCTCAGTGTGCGGAGGCGGCAGACCTCCCAAAGGTTCCCTGGCGGCCACAGCTGGGGAGGGGACTGGGCCTGAACTGCTCAAAGATCACTCCCCGCTGAAACTGAATCGCCTGCACCAGCCTGCCCAACCCCACTGTCCCTCCCGCAATCCATTCTCCGTGTTTTGTTGTTGTGGTTGTTGTTGCTGTTTTTGTTTTTGCTTTTAGTTGGAGTCTCACGCCTTCGCCCAGGCTGGAGTACAGTGGCATGCACGCTCACGGCCACTCCAGCGTCGACCTTCTGGGCTCCGGTGATGTTTCCGCCTCAGCCTTCCAAGTAACTGGAACTACAGGCACACACTACCACACCTGGCTATTTTATTTTATTGTAGAGATGAGGTCTCGCCAAGTTGCACAGGCTGGTCTTGAACCCACGGGCTCAGGCAATCCACTCGCCTCAGCCTCCCAAAGTGCTGGGATTACAGGCTGAGCCACCGAGCCCAGCCTGTTGTTGTTTTTTCGTTTTTGTTTTTGTTTTAGGTAATGTCTCACTCTGTCGCCCAGGCTGGAGTGCAGTGGCACCCTCACAGCCACCCCAGCATCAACCTGCTGGGCTCCAGCGATTCTTCCACCTACACCTCAGCCTTCCAAGTAGCTGGAACTACAGGTGCATACTACCACACCCGGCTAATTTTTTTTTAATGGTAGAGATGAGGTCTCGCCAAGTTGCCTAGGCTGGTCTCAAACCCGCAGGCTCAGGCAATCCACTCTCCTCGGCCTCCCAAAGTGCTGGGATTACAGGCTGAGCCACTGAGCCCGGCCCATTCTCCGTGTTTTAATCAGAGGGATGTGTGGCCCTGTGTGACCCAGCTCCGTTCTCCCTGGTCTCTGCCCTCCCTCTCCCAGACCTAGTCACAAAAGCCTTTTTTCAGTTCTTCAGTTGTTCTAAGCTCCTCCTGCCTCAGGGCCTTTGCACAAGCGACCTGCTCCGCTGAATCCTCTTCCACATGCACCAGCCTTCTCCGCTCAGTGCACACTCACCCTTCAGCTCTTAACCAGATGAAGCTTCCTCAGAGAGGCCTTCTCTGAGGCCACCTTGCCCCCACCCTGTGAACTTAGGTCCCTCAGCTAGCCGCCTGCAAAACACACTGTATTTCTCCCTCATCAGACTTACAATGACTACAGATGAATAGCCCCCCATGTAATAGGCTGTCTGCTCTCTGGGTCCCACTGAGGGCAGGGACGCTGCCTGTCTGGTTTTTTGTTTTACCCAATGCCTTTTACTGAGCCCTGCATGGCAAGACCCTCAGATATGTGAGTAAATGAATGAATGGGTGGGTAGATGGATGGGTGGGTAGATGGATGGGTGGGTGGACAGATGAGTGAATGGACAGACAGGTGGATGGTTGGAAAGGTGAATGGACAGGTGGAATGATGGGCAGGTGGACTGAAGGGTGGCTGGTCGGATGCAGAGGAAACACAGAACACAAGCAGTACAGCCCAGGGCTGTCAGCAGCCCACAAGGGGCCGAGGTGCCCAGGCCTCACTTGCAGGGAGGCTGCCTTTCATGGCAGCAGAGGCGGAGAATCCTCATGACCAGGGAGACATCCAGGGAGCTAATGATCGATTACACAGACCACTCTGTACATTCTAGAGGAATGGACTCGGGCAACAGGGACAGAAGGGCCTCAGCCAAGGCCTCGCCAGGACAAGGTGCGGCTCCAGGGGACACCCAGGGCTCCTGGACAGTCCTGCCTCTGCCTCCTCCGTCCTGCAGCTTGTACCCAGCTGGTCTCTGGACCTCCTGCTGGGCCATAGCATCCAAGGGCCGAGGCTGTGCACACCCACCCGTCCCCTAGGCTCTACATGCCTCCAGCACAGGCCACAGCATTGGCTGAGCTTACCGTGGAGACAAATCTTGGCTGTGAGCGCACACCAAGGCCTCCGACAGTGTCATCCCCAGGGGACAGGGCGTGACCCAGATGACTCAGAGGTGACCAGCAAAAGGAGAGGAGATAGCCTCCTCCCACAGCGCCTCAAACGCCAAACCTGGGGGCCACATTACAGGCCAAAGGAAAGAGGGCTGAGAGCAGTACTGACACCATCTTTTGAAGCCCTTGCAGTGTCCACCCACCGACCCTCTGCAGAGTCACTTCTAAGAGTTCACATCTGGGAAACACAGTCCCCACCCTAGTAAGTGAGTCAGATCCCACTGGGATCCAAGCTGGGGCCCACAGGAAGCCTGGGTCATGGTGAGCCAGCCTGACTGTGGAGCCAGGACATCGGAGCCAGACATCGCCTCTCAGGAGCACTGGCCACGGGAGTCCTGGCCACCTCCCAAACATGCCCTGTCCTGTCTCTCCTTCTCTCAGAAATGTCTGCTTCAGAAAGAGATTTTAAAAATGAAAATTGGGGGAAGAAAAAAGTGTGGAGAGATGAAGCTTTTGCATTCCATTGCTAGACCTTAGAAAGGTGCAGACTAGGCTGGGGACGGAGGCCCACCTGTAACCCCAACACTTGGGAAGGCCAAGTGGAGAGAACTGCTTGAAGCCAGGAGTTCCGAGACAAGCATGGGAAACAAAGCAAGACCTCGTCTGCAAAAAAATCAAAAAATTAGCCAGGTATGCTGGCATCCGCCAGCAGTCCTAACAACTCAAGAGACTGAGGCAGAAGGATCGCCTGAGCCCAGGAGGTCAAGGCTGTGGTGAACCGTGATGGTGCCACTACACTCCAACCTAGGCAACTAAGACTCCAACTCAAAAAAAAAAAAAGAAAAGAAATTAGATGGGCATGGTGGCACACACCTGTAGTCCCAGCTACTTGGGAGGCTGAGGCAGGAGGATTGCCTGAGCCGAGTTTGAGGCTGCAGGGAGCTAAGGTCAAGCCACTGCACTCCAGCCTGGGTGACAGAGTGAGGCTCTGTCTGGAAGGAAGGGAGAAAGGAGAGAAGGAAGGAGGGAGGGATGGAGGGAAGAAAAGAAAAGAAGCCGAGCTCAGTGGCTCAGCCTGTAATCCCGCACCTTTGGGAGTCTGAGGTGAGTGGATTGCCTGAGTCTGCGGGTTTGAGACCCGCCTGGGCAACTTGGCGAGACCTCATCTCTACAATAAATCAAAAATTAGCCAGGTGTGGTAGCGCACGCCTGTAGTTCCAGCTCCTTGGAAGGCTGAGGCGGAAGGATCGCCGGAGCCCAGCAGGTCGAGGCTGTGGTGGCCGGGAGCGGCCACTGTACTCAAGTCTGGGCAACAGAGTGAGACTCCAACTCAAAAAAAAAAAAAAAAAGAAAGAAAAGGTGCAGATTAAACTGGACCAAGAAGGACCCAGGAAAAAGCAAGGCTTCAGTTTCAAAAACACCTGCTCTGGTCACCGGCCTAGTACTCATATTCAGTCGATAAGCACTTACTAGGCACCAGCTACATGCTGGGCCATCTTTGCGGACTGAGACATGACATGAGCAGAAGACAAACCTTTGTCCTCTGGTACGGAAGGACGCACACACATACACCCAGCCTGGCGGTTTCAGTGGGCCACAAGGACCATGAAGGCAAATGGCACAAGTGAGGGAGGGCATGATGACAAGGGCCGGCTTCTGAAGAGGCAGTACTGAAGCCGAGGCCTCCACAAACCGGGGGAGTCCCAAGGACATGCGGATGGAGAACAGACCACAGAGGGCAGAGACAGGCGGGAGCCTGGCACGAGCTTTCCTGTTTGATTCCTTTTGGGCCAACTCACATAGGCAGAGCATGGATCCTGTGCCCGATTCTGTCATCTGAGGACAAGGTCTGGGCCCCAGGGTTCCTTGGACCAGTCAGTTCTATGTTTGTATGTGACAAGACCACCAGTTCTCCTCCCTCTTTGCGAGCAAGCTGAATGCCAACTCACAGTGAGGTCCCCTGGGAGGGGCACCCCATGCCAGACGCCGAGGTCCCAATATCCAGGCCCCCACCCTCCGCTTCTCCTGCCACCACCCCTGTCCTGTGGCCCTTGTCCTATTGCCATGAGGGGCAGAGGGTGGGAGGTCGGGAGCCCTGACCACAGGGCAGCCATGAACAATAAAGCATCTTTGTCTACACCCGCCCAATCCCGTGTACACACCTACCCACATCTAAATGAGCAAAAGGTCCTTGGGGCAAGGAGCAGATCTGTGGACAGGCCTTTACATCATCTCCAGAAGTCAAGGTGGAAGAAATGCTGTGAAGAATGCCCAAGTTGCCCTGGGTAGGGAAGCATGACTCACGGCCGAGGGAGCATGGGAGGGCCCGGCTCAGGGAGAGAGGCCAAGGGCCTGGCGGTCACCATCTGCAGGCTCCTGCCTGGCTCATTGCGGAACAAGAAGATGGGGCTTGGCCATGTGCCAGCAGGTCCTGCTCTCTGCACCCACCTTCTCTGGGTTCTACACATCTCCCTTCCCCTGCTTTATGGTCCCAGGGGAAGGGCAGTCAGAATGGACAGAGCCTCAGCAAGTGGCAGACAGAGCAGGTGACAGAGGACAGAGTCTCTGGGACAGGCCTGGCCGCACCTCCCACACTCCGCCCACCTCCCACCCTCCACAGTCTACCCACAGAGCTCCTGTCGCCCCGTGGGTGCCTTGTGCTTGCTGCTGTCAGGCCTTTGCACAGGCCACTTCATCTGTGTGACTTCCCTGTCCTGCCCCACTGCAGGGCTGACTCCTAAATGCTCCTTCACAGATGCAGTCAACCAGGAATGACTACACTCCTTGACTGTTCTTGGAATCAGTTTAAGTTCTGGAACAAGGCAGGAAGCAAAACTAAGGAAATTCCTCCCACCTAGACAACACAGCAAGACCTCATCTCTATAAACAATTTTTAAAATAAAACATTAAGGGAGGCTCGGTGGCTCAGCCTGTAATCCCGCACCTTTGGGAGGCCGAGGTGAGTGGATGGCCTGAGCCCGCGGGTTCGAGACCCGCCCGGGCAATTTGGTGAGACCTTATCTCTACAATAGATCAAAAATGAGCAGGGCGTGGTAGCACACGCCTGTTAGTTCCAGCTACTTGGAAGGCTGAGGCAGAAGGATCGTCTACTTGGAAGGCTGAGGCAGAAGGATCGTCGGAGCCCAGCAGGTCGAGGCTGCGTCAGCCAGGAGCGGCCACTGCACTCCAGTCTGGGCGACAGAGTGAGACTCCAACTCAAAAAAAAATAAAAAATAAAATTAAACATTAACCAGGTGTGGTGGTGCATGCCTGTAGTCCCAACTACTCGGGGGACTGAGGCGGAAGGATCACCTGGGTCCAGGAGGACAGAGTCTGCGGTGAGCTGTGATTGTGCCACCGCACTCCAGCCTGGGCAATGGAGTGAGACCCCAACTCAAAAAAAAAAGAAAATCCCTGCCTTCAAAGAGCCAGGTACTCTTTCCAGGATGTTCCTTCTTCTGTCTGAGTGGGGAGTTGAAACCCTATCAGTTACGCTTAATAGAACACGACTCCACCTTACCCAGAAGTCATCCCCGCCTTCCAGGCCATACATTCTGCCCTGTCTCCTCCCACAAGCCACCACAAGCACCAAGCACTTACCCACAACCCGATCTCCTTTCTTCACACCCATCTTCCTCATTGCTGCCGCAAACAATGCCACTTGCTGCCTCAGCTCTTCAAAAGTCACCTTCACAATGTCCTCCTTGCCTTCCCCTGGGAAGAGAACACAGGTAAATCATCCACAGGCTGTCACGGAAAGGTTTCAGGTTTCAGACATGAGAGAATCCCGCCTGCCTGGGCATCCAGGCCGCCTCAGCACTATGGGGCCTTGGGAACGTACTGACAGCAAGTGCCATTGAAGGATTTCTGTCAGGAATGCTTTATTTTATTTTATTTTATTTCTATTTTAAAGATGTGGGGTACAATTCAGGATTAGGTATACAAATGGTCATTGCACAGGTAAAGTTTGGGCCTCCCTTTGGTCCCCACTTCACCTGTTTTGAGATCAGGTACCCTTGATGATGCGGTGTGCCCCCTCACTCCCCTGGCCATGTCCCACTACTGCCAATCCCTTTCCTATAGTATTATGACAGTTGTTCAGGGTCCGCTTAGGGAATGCCTTTATTCAGTGAAGAATCCTTTGATTTGGATTGTGGATTTTTTAAGTTTTGAAATAATTATAGATTCATAGGAAGTTGCAAAGACAGTACAGAGAGGCCCCATGGCCCTTTAGGCCAGCCTCTTTTACAACTCAAGTTCAACATCAAAGCCAGGAGACAGACACGGAGGCGATGTGAGTATGCACAGTTCCACGTCAACTTAATGGCATCTCCTGCAATCACCAACACAATCAAGATATGGCAGCTGGGTGTGGTGGCTCACACCTGTAATCCCAGCACTTTGGGAGGCTGAGATGAGAGGATCACTTGAGGCCAGGAGTTCGAGACCAGCCTGACCAACATAGCAAGACCCTCACTCTATTAAAAATAAAGCTTAAAAGAGGTTTCTACCTCCTCAAACACTTCCCTCCTGGTGCTTCCTGATGGTTGCTCCATCCCTACCTCCCAACTCCAACAATCACTAATCTATTCTCCAGCTCTATAACTTGTCATTTCAAGAACGGCTGGGCATGGTGGCTCACACCTATAATCTCAACACTTTGGGAGGCCAAGGCAGGAGGATTGTTTGAGGCCAGGAGTTCAAGACCGGCCTGGACAACATAGCGAGACCTCTACAAAAAAATAAAGTTAGCGGGGTGTGGTGGCACATGCCTGTAGTCCTAGCCACTAAGGAGGCGGAGGCAGGAAGGTCACTTGAGCCCAGGAGTTTAAGGCTGTAGTGAGCTATGATCGTACCACTGCACTTCAACCTGGGCGACAGAGCGAGACCCTGTCTCTAAAAACAAAGTTAGTGACTATTATATACATACATGTAATCATACAGTAGGTGGCCTTTTGAGACTGGTTTTTTTTCATTTGGTACAATGCTGCTAATGTTCACTTAAGTTATTGCATCGCCGGGCTCGGTGGCTCAGTCTGTAATCCCACGCCTTTGGGAGGCTGAGGTAAGTGGATTGCCTGAGCCCGCGGGTTCGAAACCCGCCTGGGCAACTTGGCAAGACCTCATCTCTACAATAAACCAAAAATTAACCGGGCGTGGTAGAGCGTGCCTGTAGTTTCAGCTACTTGGAAGGCTGAGACGGAGGGATCGCTGGAGGCCTGCAGGTCGAGGCTGCGGTGGCCAGGAGCGGCCACTGCACTCCAGACTGGGTGACAGAATGAGACTCCAACTCAAAAAAAAAAAAAAAGTAACTGCATCAACAAATTATTCCTTTTCACTGCAGAGTGGTAGCCCACCTTTGATTTGGTTTGGATCACCTTTTTAAAATTATAAAGTAGGCCAGGCGCAGTGGCTTAAGCCTGTAATCCCAGCACTTAGGAAGGCCGAGGCAAGAGGATTACCTGAACCCAGGGGTTCAAGACCAGTCTGGGCAATTCAGTGAGACCTCATCTCTACAATAAAATCAAAAAATTAACAGGGCATGGTAGCCTGCACCTGAAGTTCCGGCTACTTGGAAGGCTGAGGCAGGAGGATCACCTGAGCCCAGTAGGTCGACACTGGGGTGGCCGTGAGCATGCCACTGCACTCCAGCCTGGGTGAGGGAATGAGATGCCAACTCAAAAAAAAAAAAAAGATTATAAAGTAATGCAAACTCACTGTAGAAAACCTTGGCATGGCATGAAAAAAGTATAAATAAGAAAATAAAAGGGGCCAGGCATGGTGGCTCAGCCCGTAATCCCAGCACTTTGGGAGGCCGAGGTGAGTGGATTGCTGAGCCTGCAGGTTCAAGACCAGCCCCAACTTGGTAAGAACTCATCTCTATAACAAATCAAAAATTAGCAGGGTGTGGTAGTACACACCTATAGTTCCAGCTACTTGGAAGGCTGAGGCAGAAGGATCGCCTGAGCCCCGCAGGTCGACACTGGGGTGGCCATGAGTGACTCTAACTCAAAAACAAAAACAAAAACAAAACAAAGAAAATAAAAGGATCAATCCCACTAGTTATCAAAGAAACGTGTGTTACAGCAGTGAGACACAATCTCTACCGAACAGACTAGTAAGAGAATGGTGTGGGAGCCACTCCTACAGTGACCCCGCGACCTCTGCCCTCTGTTATTCATGGCTGACCTGGACAACCAGTGGGCTATTGAGGAAGTGATGGGAGACTTGTGAGCCCTGGGCATAAACAACACAGCCGTTCCCATGACTCAGCCTGAGGGATGCTGACTCCTGTGCTCTGTGAGGTCACCGAAGCAGCCCACAGAGAGACCCTTGTGGTGAGGACCTCAGCAGGGAACAGAGGTCTCCGGCCAACAGCTACGTGAGAACACCATTGTGGACACGGAGTCCTCAGCCTCAGTTGAGCCTTCGGATGACTACAGCCCTGCCAAGAACCCACTGCAACTTAATGGGCAACCACCCCGCTAGCCACTGCTGGATGTGGAACCCACAGAAACTGGGACATAACAAATGTCTGCTTCAAGCCCTGGCTTTGGGGCAATTTGAGACACAGCAAGATAACTAATGCAGGCAAGACTCAACATTGAAGGCGTAGGAAAATCATGTTAACGGACTTTCTGCAGGGAAGATGTAATCCTTTGGCCATTATCTTCGTTGCAAATACTTCACTCGTGATTGCTAACTGCTTTTCAATTCTGTAACATGAAGTGTCTCTTTTTCCAAAGTGAATGAACATCCTAACTTCCCTTAGGTATAAATCTGGACTCTTCCTGTGTGCTCGTCCACCATCTTTTCCTCATCTCTCCGGGGCAGCCTTTCAGTTATCTCCCCTTCATTTCCAGTCCCGGTCATTTTCTACCCTATAAAAGTACTGGGTAACATGATATCTGCTATTCCAAGAAAGAACGTGCTATGCAGGCAGCTGCTCCGACCATCTGAACATGGACACGCCAAGGCGTGCTGCTGCTCGACTCACTAGAGCATGAAGACAGCTGTGTGTGTACTTCTTTTTAGCAGGACATCACATGGCCTCCCCAGGATCACACGTAGGCAGGAGGAGTTCTGCTCAGAATGCCCGCATGGGCGCACAGAAGAGCCCCCTGGGTAAGGAGCAAACAGGAAAACATGCAGAAAACAAAACACCATGGTCTTCAAGTCCCCAGGCTCAGGATCCTACTTCAGGACCCTAAATCAGATATCTGATTTAGAAAATAAATTTGATCCCTGGCTGAGGGTTCTTATTTCTACAGCAAATATGAGGAAGGGAGATTTCATTAAAAGAAGGGTCTCGGGCTGAAACAGTGGCTCACATCTGTAATACCAGCACTCTGGGAGGCTGAGGAGGAAGGACAGCTTAAGCCCAAGAGTTTGAGACCGATCTGGGCAACAAAGCAAGGCTTGTCTCTACAAAAAACAAAAAGAATTAGCTGGCGTGGTGGCACACGCCTGGAATCTCAGCTACTCATGAGGCTGAGGCGGGAGGATCTCCTGAGCCCAGGAGATCGAGGCTGTGGTAAGCTGTGATCAAG